CTTTAAATTTTTTGTTTCATGGTCTCTCATGGGAGAATAATCACTAGATGTTTCTTTCTTTCTTGTCTATCCAACTCATTTGAACATGAGGACGCTCATGAAATGTCAGGAACTTTCACAGGAAATGGCTGATTTAATCTTGCTTCTCTGTTCATAGAAAGGGAGCCTGGGTGCCACCCATTGGAGTTGCAGATTTTGTTAGTAGTCTGGTTAACCCACAACTGGCTTTCTTGGTGGCTGGTTCTGTGAGGACCAGTGCCTCATGCCTCAGAAGCTTACATCACTGGCCTGGTATGTCCTCTGGTGTTTGTTATCGCCACTGTGTGATGCAGTATTTTCTTTTTGGGAAAGGGCGAAGAGAGAGGCAGCAGTCAGTGAATGATGGGCATGGGGAAAATGTTTTATGAATAGTCTTGACTAAAGGGAAATAACAAATAATCTCTTGGGACTGGCAAAGAGCAGTTCAGCGAATTTGCTGTTGTGATCCAAACTCACCCATTTCTGCAGAGCAGAAAGCCCCAAACAGAATGTGCTGTTTTCTGTCAAGCCTGAGTGAACTTGGTGACCTCAAGGTTCTTGCCTTTGAAGATGCTTCCTGAAAAGTTCTGCTAATGAGATAGGACCTCTCATTGCTTGTGGCACTCCTGTGGGACTATTGGTGTGGCAGCTGTCTCCTGTTTCTTAACATTAAGTGTGAATGACATCATATCAAATTTATGACATTTTAAAGTGAGAAGTGGACATAGGTGTAAAATTGCCCTAGTGTTATGTTCCGGCTCTGAGAGTGGATATATGACCTTGATAAGTCACTGTATTTGTAAATTGAGAACACTTTTTCTTTTGCTGGAGAATTAAAAGGAGAGTGAGGTCATTAAGAAATACAAACTTTCAGAAATAATGACAGCATTTTAAGCGAATGGTTTGATTGTGGAAAAGTAGTATGTATTTGTTGTCCATTTTGACTGAGCTTTATTTTAATATAAATTTATTCAAGAGAAAAGAATTAGGGAAAACTTTTTCTGATTTAATTACTTTCTTGCTTGATGCTTTTCCTAATGCTGTCTCCATTCATAATAGAGATCTTGTTTTGAGGAACAAAATTACCTCTATTTGTTCATAGATATGTTGTGATAAGTGTCAGTTGGTTTTATTACCATTTTTTATTAATCAACTTTCATTTCCTCAGTTATGTATACTTTATTATTTGTTGATGCCTAAATCTAGTCTAGCAGTTAATTTACGTGGTAATAGATGGAAGATATTTAACAGTTTTTTTCCCAAGATTTTTAAAATTTATTTTTAGAGATCAGTTTTTACTTTTTATTTTTTAAAGATTTTATTTATTTATTTTTAGACAGGGGAAAGGAGGGAGAAAGAGGGAGAGAAACATCAAGCATAGTTGCCTCTCACTCGCCCCCCACCGGGGACCTGGCCCGCAACCTAGGCACATGCCCCGAGTGGGAATCAATCTGGCGACCCTCTGGTTCACAGGCTGGCGCTCAATCCATTGAGCCACACCAGCCAGGGCTAGAGGTAAGTTTTTAGTAACCACAGATCATCCTATTTAATAGTAAGGAAAAGATTTAGGTACTTTTTGTTTTTAAAGATTTTATTTATTTATTTTTAGACAGAGGGGAAGGGAGGTAGAAGGAGAGGAAGAGAAACATCACTGTGTGGTTGCCTCTGCCTCGCCCCCTCCTGGTGACCTGGCCCACAACCCAGGAATGTGCCCTGACTGGGAATCCAACTGCCAACCTTTTGGTTCGCAGGCCAGAACTCAGTGTACTGAGCCATATCAGCCAGGGCTAGGTACATTTTTAACCAAAGTAGTTTTCGTATGTTCTCTGGGATATTGGGGCTTTAGTTAAGGGATACCACATATTCAGTAAATTAATTATATACATAGGTATGTTTTTAGAATTTGCATTCAAACTTACAGTCTTTAATTTTTTAGCCATCCTTTCATTTGATTACTTGATCTCTAGCTAAAACTAGAATTAATTCAACAAAATTAAAAGAGATAACTTTAAAAAAAAAGATTTTATTTATTTATTTTTAGAGAGAGAGGAAAGGAGAAAGAGAGGGAGAGAAACATCAATGTGTGGTTGCCTCTTGCACATCCCCCCTGGGGACCTGGCCTGCAACCCAAGCATGTGCTCTGACTGGGATTTGAACCAGTGACCCTGTGGTTCACAGGCCGGTGCTCAATCCACTGAGCTACACCAGCCAGGGCAGAAAGAGATAACTTTTAACAGACATCTAATTTAGCACACTGATTGATGAAAAACAGTTTTTTAGCATGAGTGTTTTTAAAAATTTGCTTTAGGTTTTGCCTTAAGAGTATTTTCATGAGGTGTTTTTGCTTTTACATTTTGAGAAAATATTCATAACAAAATTTATCATTTTAACCATTTTTAAATGTATAGTTCCCTGGCATTAGTGCATTCTCGTTGTTGTGTGACCATTACCACTGTCCCTGGAACTTTTTCATCATCCCAGGTTAAAACTCTGTGTGTGTTAAACAATAACTCCCCATTATTCTCTCCCCTAAGTTTTTGGCAACTACCCTTCTACTTTCTGTCTCTATGAATTTGGTGTCTTATGTGAGTGGAATCATATAATATTTGTCCTTTTGTATCTGGCTTATTTTACTTAGAATAATGTTTCCTTATTATAGAATATTCTCAAGGTTCATGTATGTCATAGCATATATGTCAGAACTTCATTTCTTGTTAATGCTGAATTCCATTGTGTATATATGTATGTATATGTATGTGTATGCATATGAGATCTGTCCAGAAAGTATATACAGCCATGCAATATGAAACATAGAGACATATATTGAAGAAGATATAAGAAACATTGTATGTAGGACAATGATGCCTCACTCCCCTTGCAAGTAGGCACCTTGGGACCTCACACAGTTCTCCGAATACATCAGCTGCACTTTCATATTTTTCTCAATCTCATCAAGGGTCTGAAATCTCTTCCTTTCAAAGATAATTTTAGTTGTGGGAAAGGCCAGAAATCTCTGGGCTGTAGGGGAGCTGAGTCACATGGGTGATTTGGTGATTTGATTTTGGCCAAAAAACTCTGCCTGAGATGTGAGGCATGAGTGGGCTCAGTGTCACAATGAGGCTTGCCCATCATCAGTTGCCCATAGCTGTGGCCCTCTGAATCATCTGAATAGTTTTTGTGGAACAATGTTCAAGCTTGATGCAAAATTTGATGCAGATTCATTGCTCTACTTGCTCAGTCATCTTGATCAGCATGGGACTTTTAACTTTTGCTCTGTTTCCTACCTGGGCCAGTTCACCCCTCCTTAGGCAACCTGGTGGCCCCCTGCTCCTAGGAGGTCACCATACTGATGCCGAACTTAGTGGGGACACTTGATCAGCATAGCACGCTATAGCCCCGAACTCCTGGACTCAAGCGGTCCTCCTGCCTCAGCCTCCCAAGTAGTGGGGACTACAGGCACGCACCACCATGCCCTGCTTTGCTCAGTCATTTTGAATGCCATGGCCACACAGTACACACGCTCACTCAATGGCATCTGCTGCCCCCACTGATTAGTACAGTGAAGTCGTCATTGTTCATACATGTGTATTCCAGTCCACTCTCCTTGGCTGCCACTTTACATGGATGTTGCACAAACTGTTCTCATTATGTTAATAACAGCTGGGTATTTTCCAGACAAACCTCATACATCACATTTTGTTTATCCATTTATATGACAATGGACATTTGAGTTGTTCCCATCTTTTGGCTATTGTGAATAATTCTATGAACATGGGTGCACAAATATTGTTTGAATCCTTGCTTTTAGTTCTCTGGGTATACACCCAGAAGTGGGATTTCTGTATCATGGTAATTCTGTTTAATTATTTTAGAAACTGCTATATGGTTTTCTACAGTGCGTACATCATTTTATGTTCCTAACAGCAATGCACAGGGTTCCAATTTTTCCACATTCTTGCCAACACTTGCTATTCAAAGATTATATGTTGTATTTTTATAGTGCTTGCAATTCAGCTGAGGGTTTTTGCTGATATCAAAGTATCAGAAAGTGTCTTTTAAAGAGAGTAATATGCTGTATTACAGAGAAATCTTAGATGACCTTTGTCCTTCAACCCATTTCCTTTATTTTTTAAAAACTATTTTATCTTTAGAGAGGGGGAGGGAGAGAGAGGGACAGAAACATCGATGGATTCTCTCTTGAATGTGCCCCTGCTGGGGGACCAAACCTGCAACCCAGTCACGTGCCCACGCTGGAATCGAACTGGCAACCTTTTGGTTTGCAGGACAGTGCCCAGTCAACTGAGCCACACAAATCTGGGCACCATTTCCTTTTTGGTAAGAAAGAAGAAATTATCTTCATGCAGCCACAGCTTACTATACGTACTGTTTCTATAGTCATTGTGTGTATGGGAGAAAGGGAATTGTGCATCTGTTTCCTATGCTGTTTTTTTATATACTATTGCTAGGTTGTGAAGTGTATCACTTCTTCCTTCTACTTGGGAGAAATTTTAACTTGTTCTGGAATTTATTTGGGGGGATGATGCTGGCCTAATTTTATGGAAATAAAACTAAATGGATCCCTGGCTCCAGTGGATTGAGTGAGGGCCTGCCAAATCATTACCAATTTGGTTCCCAGCCAGGGCACATGCCTGGGTTGCAGGCCAGGTCCCCAGTGGGGGAGTGTGAGAGGCAACCACACGCTGTTGTTTCTCTTCCTCTCTTTCTCTTTACCTTCTCCTCTGTCTGGAAATACATACATAGAATCTTAAAAAAAAGAAACTAAATGGAAAGTTATAGGATAGAGGCTCTAATTTATAGGATAGCTGTTGGTGGCAAATAATACTTGGTTTTTGAGCCGAATTTTTCTCTTAATGCAGTGTTAATTAAAGCACTCTGTGGGGGACCTCATACCTATAACGTTATGTTTAGCAGAACACTGAGGATTTCTAAACACTCACTTTCTTCTTTCTTCTCTTACACAGGGATCATGGCCCAAGTAGCAATGTCTGGCCTGCCGGTTGAGGATGAGGAGTCTTCGGAGAGCAGGATGGTGGTAACATTTCTCATGTCAGCTCTTGAGTCCATGGTGAGACGGCTTTACAGTTCTATCAAACATCCCATATTTGGATGGATATGGACTTGTGGATGAGATTGGTTTGTTCTTGTAAAACATGGTTTTCAGTTTACTAATAAGAATAATATATTTTGCTTGAGTAATAGTATGGATTTAAGCCTTTCAAATCAAATTTTATTACCAAGTTTCAGAATATTTTAACTTTTTAAAATGTTTAATATTTTACATTTACTTTCAACTTTTATCTACAAATATCTTAGGTAATCCCTTTTTTTACAAGCATTAACTTTATGTATAATATTTGAGTTTCTCAGAATGAGTTGGTATATTATAGTGTGGTGCTCATGTTTTATTATATCTGTATAAAGAACATTACCAGAATTTTGGCTATAAGAGCATATTCACTATTTTATATCTTTTACTTTGATGTGCTGTGCATTCATAATTTTCCTGACTCTGCTACCTGATTCTAAACATGTAGTGTGTTAGCCTTTAGCTCTTTCTTTTCAAAAGACCTATATTAAACATAATTATAGCAAAATACTAGTATTACAATTTGCTTATCATGTTTTTTAAATAGGTAGCTGGAAATCTTGTGTTTGATCTCATAGATTTTGTTTAAAAAGCATCAGACTTGGTTTCTTTTTTTTTAAAATCTTCACCTGAGGATATATATTAATTGATTTTTAGAGAGAGAGGAAGGTGAGGGGAAAGAAATAGACATCGACTTGAAAGAGAAACAGTGATGGCTTGTGTCCTGACCAGGGATTGATGCAACCTAGGTATCTGCCCTAACCGGGGATTGAACCTGCACCCTTTAGGTGTACGGGACAACCCTCCAACCATCTGAGCTACCTGGCCAGGGCTAGGTATTTTTTGACACATTGAAATGAAATATTCTAAGTAGGAGGAAGCTATGTACTTTCTGTGTTAAGTGTTGATTAGTATTAGATAGTGTTTAACCCCATAAATTGCAGTATGACATAGTTTGTAGATTCCTTTTTCTTTTCCCATTAGGAAAATTCTTTTTCTTTTTTTCTTTTTTAAATATATTTTATTGATTATGCTATTACAGTTGTCCCATTTTCCCCCTTCACTCCCCTCCACTCTGTCCACCCCCTCCCACCCACATTCCCCCATTACTTCATGTCCATGTGTCTGTCATAAGTTCTTTACCTTCTACATTCCCACACTATTCCTGTCCTCCCCCTGTCTATTTTCTACCTATTGTCCATGCTACTTATTCTCTATATCTTTACCCCTCTCTCCTCCTCCCACTTCCCTGTTGCTAACCCTTCATGTGATCTCCATTTCTGTGGTTCCACTCACGTTCTATTTGCTTAGTTTGCTTTTGTTTTAGGTATGGTTGTTACTAACTGTGAGTTTGATGTCTTTTTTTAGTGTTCATATTTTTATCTTCTGTTTCTTAGATAAGTCCCTTTAACATTTCATATAATAAGGGCTTGGTGATGATGAACTCCTTTAACTTGACCTTATCTGAGAAGCACTTTATCTCCCCTTCCATTCTAAATGAAAGCTTTGCTGGATAGAGCAATCTTGGATGTAGGTCCTTGCCTTTCATGACTTGGAATACTTCTTTCCAGCCCCTTCTTGCCTGCAAGGTCTCTTTTGAGAAATCAGCTGACAGTCTGATGGGAACTCCTTTGTAGGTTACTGTCCCCTTATCTCTTGCTGCTTCTAGAATTCTCTCCATTTTTATCTTGGGTAGTGTAATTATGATGTTCCTTGGCGTGCTCCTCCTTGGGTCCAGCCTCTTTGGGACCCTCTGAGCTTCCTGGACTTCCTGGAAGTCTATTTCCTTTGCCAGATTGGGGAAGTTCTCCTTTATTATTTGTTCAAATAACTTTTCCACTTGTTGTTTTTCCTCTTCCCCTTCTGGTACCCCCTATAATTCAGATGTTGGAACATTTAAAGATGTCCTGGAGGTTCTGAAGCCTCCCCTCATTTTTGTGAATTCTTGTTTCTTCCTTCTTTTCTGTTTGGTTGTTCCTTTCTTCCTTCTGGTCCCTTCCATTGATTTGAAACACAGTTCTCTTTTCATCACTATCGGTTTCCTGTGCATTTTTCTTCCTTTCTCTTACTGTGCTCTGCATTTGTTCATCTAATTTATGACCAAAGTCAACCAATTCTGTGAGCATCCTGATCACAAGTGCTTTGAACTGTGCATCTGATAGGCTGGCTATCTCTGGGTCACTTAAAAACACTGGCTCTGGGGCTTTTAACTCTGTTTGAGCCATCTTTTTAATTTAACTTAATTTTTTTTTTGGTCTGGTAGCGCCTGCTATGAATGAGGGGCGGAGCCTTAGGTGTTCACCTTGGCGGGGTACTTCAGTCACTGGGTTGTGACGTTTATGTGGGCGTGGGGTCTGAGAGGAACAATGCTCCTGTTCCGCTCTCTCTAGGACTTCAGTCCCCTTTGCCACTTCCCACAAGCAAATTGGGCCCTTCTGGTGCTGGATCCCAGGTGGGTGGGCTTGTGTACTTTCTCCGACTCTGTGGGTTTCCCCAAGGAGCCTCCTGTGAGGCTGAGAGACTCTCCCAGCCTCAACTCCCACAGGTGTTTTCAGTCTGGGGCCTTTAGGCTTTGTTTCCTGGCGCTGGGTCCCTGGGTTGCGTGGTCTGTGTTGCTGCCCGTTTTCCCTTAGTTTGTCTGCTCGAGAATGTGTGGCTGCAGACAGCCAGCTGCCTTGCACACCTCACTGGGTCTGCTCGTTGCCTCCCACGCCCAGGGTCTGCCACCAGTCAGTCAGCTGTCCCTGCGCTTGTGGGGTCCGCCAACTGCCGTCTGCGCCCTGGGCACTTGTGTCTGCTAGCCACCGATTTTTCCTGCCAGGACCCCTCGACCCCTCTCTGAAGGTCTCCGACTCTGCCCCTCCTTACCGATCTGGATGTATGGGAGTCAGACTTCCATTCGGTCCATTTCTCTCTGTTCTGGTTGTTTTTTTTGTTTGTAAATTCTTGTTGTCCTTAGTTTTGGTTACGCGAGGAGGCACAGTGCGATCACCTATGCCTCCATCTTGGCCGGAAGTCAAAAATTCTTTTTCTATCTAATAATTTAAAATGATCTCCTTAAAGAAACCAAAATTTTAGAATGGTTAGTGGCTATTTACCATTATTTTCTGAAAATCGCTTATTTCTTCCTTGTAATCATAAAAACTGCCAAAATTTGGGGCTTAATGTTAATTAATTTAGAGATTAAACCTACTCTGTTCATATCAAAATATTTTCTTCTGGTCTCTGCATAGAATTAACATAGGGTGGGTCACATAGGATCTGCTTTATTCCTTAGAATGTCTTTAGAGTTTTCTCATCTTTGTGGGTCACTTTATTATTCTCAGCTTTTATTTCCTCCTCACCAGCAGGAGTAAGAGTATCTCTCCTCATGTTCCCCTAGTTGTAGTTATGAAGTATAATTGTAGGTGTATAGGCTGGTTTCATCCTTCCCTTGGCCTATAGGTTTCTGTGATCTAATCCTTGGACAGTGCATGAACCTTGCTTTGTTGTTTCATAAATACTGCCTTTGGGGATGGGGCTGTCCAGCTAAAAGGGTGGACAGTGCAACAGAATGCACTGCTATTACAGGTGAGCAACCAAAGTGCATCTCATACAAATGCAGTGTAAGGGAATTTTGGTATAGCATGGTTCTTCCTGCTGGGGACAACTTTTGCCTCACCTCTTGGTCGGAAGTTCTCTACTATGGCTTCATTATAGTTCAGAAGATTTCTCCATTGCAGCAAGTATAACATTATTTATTCTAGATTACGTTTTAAAGTAATATTATGCAATTATGCAAGCACTTTCCATTTAAGAAATTAGAGGGTTATTATACAAATCAAAGACAAATAGAGGAAAGATGTGGTTTTCAATGAATGAGAGCAGGCTGTTTGGGGAAAAAATTTAGTCTTTATCATGTGTCAGGTTAAATTCTAGATGAGTAAAAATGAAAAATAGTTATACTAAGACAAATTTAAAAATCAGAAAAATGATGTAATTGTGTATTTAATTCTGTAAGCAGCTTTCTACGCCTGACATTGAGGATTTTTATGCATCAGTGGGGAAACACTACTAACACAACAGTAAAATTAGCAAAGGATATGTTAATTGAGAGAAAAGTATCTAAAGTACAAAACTCTTATTTTAATACCAATCAGTGGCCTATTGACTATACTAATCACCCTTTTAAATGTTTCTTGGAAACTTGAACAATAATATTTGCTAGGTAGGGAATTGTTAGCTCTTTTAGAAGTGCAAGTGGGAGTATAAACTGAAAGAGCCTTGCTTTCCCCTTTTTGTAGGTTTTGAGAACCTTAAAAGGATTTCTTTTCAGCCCTGACCAATGACTCAGTTGAAACATTGTCCTGTACACTGTGAAAGACTGTGAGTTTGATCCCCAGTCAGGGCACATGCAGGAGGCAGCTGATAGATGTTTCTCTCTCACGATGTCTGTCTGTCTGTCTGTCTGTCTCCCCCCTCCCCTCTTTCCCTTCCCCTATCTCTTTGTAAAATCTATAATCATCCTCAGGTGAGAATAAAAAAGAAAGTATTTTCTTTCTCTCTTTCCTTCCTTCTTCCTTTTCTTTCTCTCCCTTCTTGCCTTCCTTCCTTCCTTCCCTCCCTCCCCCATCTCTCCCTCCTTCCTTCCTTTCATTTATTTATTTTTTGAGAGAGGGTATGGGAGGGAGAAAGAGAGGGAGAGAAACTTCAATGTGAGGTTGCCTCTCACGTACCCTGTACTGGGGGCCTGTTCTGCAACCCAGGCATGTGCCCTGTCTGGGAGTCAACTGGCAAACCTTTGGTTCTCAGCCGGCGCTCAGTCCACTGAGCCACCCCAGGCAGGGCAGAAAGTATTTACTTTGATAGTCAAAGTTTCCATGTGTCAGTCTCTTCTGAGAAGGTCATTCAAGATACACATGAATATTCTATTCCCAGATTATTATATTTCAGTATTGCTTTTAGGACTGGTAATTAGGATCACCAATATTTTCAATAAGGTTCGTATGAAATGAATTATTATATATTCATAAAATGGAGTGTTATATTGTATACTCTTACTAAGATTTTAAAGAGTATTTAATCTCATGGGAATATACTTAGTAAAAACCATTCTTAGTAAAAGTATACACACCTAAATGTGATTCCAGTTGTGTATAACTATGGAGATACTTCTGGAGGTGGGATAATGTAATGCAGGGGTGTCCAAGCTTTTGGCTTCTCTAGACCACGCTGGAAGAAGAGTTTTCTTGGGCCACTCATTAAATACACAAACAGTAACGAAAACTGATGAGGAAAAAATGAGGTTTAAGTACATTTACAATTTTGTGTCGGGCCACATTCATAGCCATCCTGGGCCCTTAGAGTCCCGCAGGCCACGGGTAATGGATGTTATGCTGTGACTTCCAGACCCCTCTTTAGGACTGATGGCACTTATCACCCCAGCTACTGTGTGCGTTAGAGGATCCCTTGCCCAAGATCTCTCCGCTTCTTTGGGGAGGGCCATTTTAGTTCCAGAGCGCTCCTGATGCAGGTGTGTCTGTGTTCAACTCCCTGTGACTCCTGCGCCCTTCACACTCCACAGGTGTTGTTACTGAGAGTGCTCTCCAGTAAGCCTGTATGTGTACCTGAGTCGGTTTCTTGTGAATTTGACCTTTAACAGATCAAATGGGATCTGTTTTCAGGGATCGCTGCCTTTTTTCTTATAAATTCTGTACTTTCTTCTTTTTAAAATCAGTGTTAAAAACTATTCAGAAAGAGCCCTGGTTTGTGTGGCTCAGTGGATTGGATGCCGCCTGGGAACTGAAGTGTTACCGTTTGGATTCCCAATTAGGACACATGCCTGGGTTGTGGGCCAGGTCCCTGGTGGGGGCGGAATGTGAGAGGTAACCCCACACTGATGTTTCTCTCTCTCTTTCTCCCTCCCTTCCCCTCTCTAAAAATAAATAAATAAAATCTAAAAAAAAAAACTATTCAAAAGAAAGTCACCTTAAAAAAATGGGGACTCTTTGGCTTTGTATATAACTTAAAGCCAAAAAATAGAAAGTTTATTTTTTTCCAGGTCATGTATTAAGACTGTTTAAGTGATAAGATTTTTTTATTCATCCATCAGAAACGGTACTTTTAAATTATATCTGTATGTATCACTTCATTGTTTCTATTTCAGTGTAAAGAACTAGCCAAGTCCAAGGCAGAAGTGGCCTGCATCGCAGTGTATGAAACAGACATGTTTGTTGTTGGAACTGAGAGAGGACGAGCTTTTGTCAACACCAGAAAGGATTTTCAGAAAGATTTTGTGAAATACTGTAAGTATTGTATTGTTAGCTTTTGTATTTCATAAACATTAAACCTAAAGATTTATGCATTAGCACATCATATTATATTCTAAAACAGAATGAGATGTATACTAAAAAAGCACTTTCTGAAATATCCATGGAGACATTGCAAAGTGCTCCAAATGAGCCCTGGCCGGTGTAGCTCAGTGGATTGAGCACTGGCTTGCGAACCGAAATGGCGCTGGTTCCATTCTCGGTCAGGGTACATGCCTGGTTGTGGGCCTGGTGCCCGGTTGGGGGCTCGGAAAAGGCAACTATATTCTCTCTCACATCCGTGTTTCTCTCCCTTGCTTTCTCCCTCCCTTCCTCTCTCTGAAAATAAATAAAATGTAAAAAAACCAAAATTCTCAAAATGAATCACTGACATGGTAACATACAGGGATAAATACCAAAGAGTTTAAGAAAATGGTAAATGTTCATTATACTGTGCTCCTTGCTTGGCCTTACTCTGAATTTGTGAAACACATGAAAGAGAGCGTAAATTTTGAATTGATTGAAAGTTCTTGTTCAGATGAGCAGTTCTTTTCTTGATAAACAACGTGTTGAAAAAAGTCTATCTGTGCATTCATGATACTGTGTTAAACAGGTCTCCCCAACTCCCTCAGTGGAATGGACTTGACTGAGGGTTCATTGAGTTCTGCCAGTTGGGAGTCGTGCAGTTGGTGAACTTACTTGGCACTGGCACCAGTGCAGCAGAGAAAGTCACTGTAGGGCATTACTACTACCTATTGCCTTTCACAGTATAGCAATTTTGTATCTGTGTTTAACCTAACACTGTTCATAGCTTTTATTGGGTTTTTATTTTTTTTTGAAGATTTAATTATTTTTAGAGAGATGAGAAGGGGAGGAGAAAGAGAGGGAGAAAAACATCAATGTGTAGTTGTCTCTTGCAGTCCTCATGCTGGGGTCCTGGCCTGCAACCCAGGCATGTGCTCTGACTGGGAATTGAACTGGCAACCCTTTGGTTTGCAGGCCCATGCTCAGTCCACTGAGCTACACCAGCCAGGGCCATAAGTTTTGTATTAACTGTGACACAGCATTTGTTTTAAACACAGAAAGAGACCAATAAAGATGACTATGTATATAGGTATATAATGTATATGTCTTTAAGATTATGATAAATTTTCATTATCAAGTTAGATCCAATTTATGATAAATCAAGCAGATTATGGGTAAGTAAAAATAGGTTTCTTTTTTTTTAAATTTTATTTTAATCATTGTTCAAGTACAGTTTTCTCCTTTTTACTCCCATTCCAGCCCACCCTCCCAACCCTGCCCACTTCCCTCCCATTACCACCCTCCCCCTAGTTTTTGTCCATGTGTCCTTTAAATTTGTTCGTGAACCCTTCCCATTGTCCCCTGAAATTTCCTCTTCTCTCCCCTTGGTCACTGTCAGCCTGTCCTCTATTTCAGTGTCTTTGGTTATATTTTGCTTGTTTCTTTGTTTTGTTGTTTAGGTTCCTGTTAAAGGTGAGATCATATGGTATTTGTCTTTCACTGCCTGGCTTGTTTCGCTTAGCATAATGTTTTCCAGTTCCATCCATGCTGTTGCAAAGGGTAGGAGCTCCTTCTTTCTTTTTGCTGCATAGAATTCCATTGTGTAAATGTACCATAGTTTTTTGATCCATTCATTTACTGATGGGCATCTAGGTTGCTTCCAGCATCTAGCTATTGTAAATTGTGCTGCTATGAACATTGGGATGCATAGGTTCTTTTGGATTGGTGTTTTAGTATACTTAGGATAGAGTCCCAGCAGTGGAATTGCTGGGTCAAAAGGCAGATCCATTTTTAGTCTTCTGAGGAAGTTCCATAGTGCTTTCCATAGTGGTTGTACCAGTCTGCAGTCCCACCAACAGTGCATTAGGGACCCCTTTTTTCCACAACCTCTCCAATACTTGTTGTTTGTTACTTTGTTTATGATGGCCATTCTGACTGGTGTGAAGTGGTATCTCATTGTGTTTTTTTCTTTTTAATATATTTTATTGATTATGCTATTACAGTTGTCCCATTTTCCCCCCTTCACTCCCCTCCACCCTGTACATCCTCTCCCTCCCATATCCCCCCTTTATTCATGTCCATGTGTCATACTTATAATTTCTTTAGCTCCTACATTTCCCATATTATTCTTACCCTCCCCCTATCTATTTTCAACCTACATTCTATGCTACTTATTCTCTGTACCTTTTCCCCCTCTCTCCTCCTCCCACTCCCCTGTTGCTAACCCTCCATGTGATCTCCATTTCTGTGGTTCTGTTCCTGTTCTAGTTGTTTGCTTAGTTTCTTCTGGTTTTGCTTTAGGTGTGGTTGTTAATAATTTTGAGTTTGCTGTCCTTTTACTATACATGTTTTTTCTTTATCTTTTCTTAGATAAGTCCCTTTAACATTTCATAAAATAAGGGCTTGGTGATGATGAATTCCTTGAACTTGACCTTATCTGAGAAGCACTTTATCTGCCCTTCCATTCTAAATGAAAGCTTTGCTGGATAGAGCAATCTTGGATGTAGGTCCTTGCCTTTCATGACTTGGAATATTTCTTTCCAGCCCCTTCTTACCTACAAGGTCTCTTTTGAGAAATCAGCTGACAGTCTGATGGGAACTCCTTTGTAGGTTACTGTCCCCTTATCTCTTGCTCCTTCTAGGATTCTCTCCTTCATTTTTACCTTGGCTGATGTAATTATGATGTGCCTTGGTGTGTTTCTTCTTGGGTCCACTTCTTTGGGGCTCTCTGAGCTTCCTGGATTTCCTGGAAGTCTATTTCCTTTGCCAGAATGGGGAAGTTCTCCCTTATTATTTGTTCAAATATGTGCTCAATCTGTTGCTTTTCCTCTTCCCCTTTTGGTACCCCTATAATTCAGATGTGGAACGTTTAAAGATGTCCTGGAGGTTCCTAAGCTTCTCCTCGTTTTTTTTTAATTCTTATTTCTTCATTCTTTCCTGCTTGGTTGTTTTTTTCTTCCTTCTGGTCCACTCTATTGTTTTGAGTCCCAGTTTCTTTCCCATCACTATTGGTTCTCCGTGCATCTTCCTTCATCTCTTTTATGGTAACCTGCATTTTTTCATGTAATTTGCACCCAAAATCAACCAATTCCATGAGCTTCCTGATCACCAGTGTTTTGAACTGTGCATCTGATAGATTGGCTGTTTCTTGGTCGCTCAAAAGGATGAGTCCTGGGGAACTGATCTGTTCTTCTGTTGGAGACATGTCTCTCTCCCTCTCCCTCTTTCTCTCTCTCTCTCCTTTTTTTTTTTTTTTTTTCCGGTCTGGTCGCTCTTGTTACAGTGAGGGGTGGAGCCTTAGTTGTTCACCTGGGCTGGGCACTCCAGTCGCTAGATTGTGACGTTGTATGTGGGGGTGGGGGCGAACAATGGCGGTAGCTCCGTTCTCCTGGGACCTCAGTTCCTTCTCTGGGATCCTGGGTTGCACGCTCTGCCTTGGTCCACAATGCCACTTCACTGGGTCCGCCAGCCTCCGCTTGCGTACTCAGGGTCCACCGCTGCATCCCGGAAGGCTTACACGCTCCCGGTTGCCTTATGCACCCAGTTCTCCCCGATCTCTGCGGGCCGGGACCCTTGCCCGCTCCTCCTCTCATCCCCTCCTACCGGTCTGGATGAACGGGTCTACTTCAACTTCTTGGCTGTCTAACTTTTATTCAGATAAATTCTCTGTCAGTTCTGGGTGTTATTCTGCCTCTAAATTGTTGTTCTAATCTTGGTTGTGCGTGGAGGTACGGTGCATCCACCTATGCCTCCATCTTGCCGGAAGTCCCTCTCATTGTGGTTTTAAATTGCATCTCTCTGATAGAAAAATAGGTTTCTTAATTCATTAATTCCAATTGACGATTATATTTTTACTCCTTTTTAAAAAACATTTTCTCTCCTTCATTATATTCCTTCCTCTCCACCCAGCTGTGAGCTTTTAAACTTTATGGTAGTAATCTGTCTTTAATTTTTTTCTATTTCTTATCATTTTATGACTTTCTAAGAATTTCATTGTGTTTGTATATTCGCTTATACTAATGTGGCTTCGATGATGTCATGTGCAATCTGTCCCGTGCATGCTGTTATCCCACTGGCAGATGTATTTGTTCCTGTTCTGGGTACTGTCTTGCTTATGGATTTCTTCAGTGGTTGGAGCTAAGCTTTAGTGAAATTGTCCTCAGTTGCAAATTGTAGTCCTTGCCTATTAGTATTCACACGTTCTTTTTGTTAACACTAATTTGATGGGATGGTGAATAATTTTTGGATAGAATTCTTGGGTACCTGATAATTCTATAAATTATTTTTCAGATATGGATTAATAGAGGTCTTCTTAAGCCTGACCTTTAGGTTTTTAGAAAATTTGGGGGAGAATTCAAAGCTCTTTTCTACGGTTTAGAAAAGCAATAGAAATAATGTAATGTGAGTCACTTGTGAAATTTAAAATTTTCTAGTTATGTTGGTAAAAAGAAAGAAGATGTGAAATCCATTTTTGTAGTTATATTCAAACCTCATACATCTAAAATATTATCATTCAACATGTAATTAACAAAAATTATTAATGGCATGTTTTGCATATTTTTTGTACTATTATTATTTTATATTATATTATATTATTTTTATATTATTTTTAGAATCCAGCATGGTAAACATAAAACACATCTTAATTTGGACTTTTAACGTTGCAAGTGCTCAGTAGCCACAGTTGTCTTGTGGCTGTTGTGTTTGAACTTTGCAAGCGTAGAATATGTTTTGTGTTGATAATCTTTCGTTATTTAAGTTTGTAGCTGATAAATTACTCTTAAGGTAAAATTAGTAGCTTCCGTGGCCAGGTAGTTTAGTTGGTTAAAACACTGGTCCCACACACTAAGGTTGTGGATTTGATCTACCATCAGGGTGCTTATAAGAAGCAACCAGTGAATGCATAAATAAGTGGAGCAACTAATTGATGTCTATCTGTCTGTCTGTCTCATTAATTAAAAAAAAACATGTAACTGATTTATAGGATTTTTAGTTATAGCTATGCTTATGTCAGAGATGATTATCATTTCTTATTTTCATTCAAGTAACATGACTTTTAGCTTTTACTTTTAAAAAATTTTTACAAGATTTTATTTATTTATTTTTAGAGGGGAAGGGAGGGAGAAATAGAGGGAGAGAAACATCAGTGTGTGAGAGATACGTTGATCAGTTGCCTCTCGCATGCCCTCAACTGGGTACCTGGCCCACAGCCCAGGCGTGCGCCCTGACTGGGAATCAAATCAGCAGCTTCGGTTCACAGGCTGGCCCTCAATCCACTGAACCACGCCAGCCAGGGCTAGCTTTTTATTTTTATACTTTATCCTCACCCGAGGATATAGTTACTGATTTTAGAGATAGAAGAAGGGAGTTGTCGGGGGGGGCGGGTTACTGATTTTAGAGATAGAAGAAGGGAGTTGTCGGGGGTGAAGGAGAGAGAAAGAGAAACATTGATCAGTTAACTTCTTATACATTTCCCAACTGGGGATCAAACCCATAACCTTTTTGGTCTACCAGACAACATTCCAAACAACTGAGCCACCTGCTAAGGGTTTTGCTTTTATTTTTAAAGTTCCCCCTCTTTCCTTTCCTTTCTGTGCTTATATAATACATCGTAAGTATTAGAATATTAGAAAAATAATCGTACTGAAAGCCAGATAATAAGAAATGGGTACAGGCCTTTGTATATCATTAATTATTTTACAGGTGTTGAAGAAGAGGAAAAGGCTGCAGAGATGCATAAAATGAAATCTACAACCCAGGCAAATCGGATGAGTGTAGATGCTGTAGAGATTGAAGCACTCAGAAAAACTGTTGAGGACTATTTTTGCTTTTGCTATGGTAAGGTTATATACTTGAATTTTCTGAAAGATAGATTATGTGACTGAGTTTTCTAAAAGGTAGTTTAATATCATACAACACACTTTCACAAATTGAATAAATTAATCTGTAAATTTTGGGTGCTAACATTAGGAACAGCCTTATGTTCCATTTGCAGTTTGATGGAACCCAGAAACAAATACAGGATTAGAGCTGTTTGTGTTTTTCCTTAGAGCAGGTTTAGAGTCACAGCAAAATCAAGGGCAGGTCCATAGATCGCCCGAATACCACTTTCCCTCACACAGGCATAGCCTTTTGCCATCAGTGTCCTCCACCAGAGAACCTGCAGTGGCACATTGTAATCATCCAGAGGGAATTGTTTGTTTTTTACATGTATGCCAATTGCCTAGAAAAAAACCACCTTTTGTTAATCCAATTATGTGGTAACCAAAGCCCTTTTAAGAAAAAAAAGTGGTCAGAGGGGGGCGATATAGGTTATGGTGTAAGATTGTATATAAAATTGAACTCTGGAGGATGGAGTTCCAGCATCCATGGGCTCACTGCCTTGTACATACCGACAGCCTGACAGAATACAGTCATTTGTAAACGTAGGTTTTGCTCATCTAATAAGTTTTCAATGAGAATATTAATCAAAAATTGCCTCTTGTGGTAGCAGTTTGATTTGTGAGGTTTCCATGTTCTGAGGCTGAATTGTAAGTGGAAAGATTGTGTTATACCAGAGTGGGACCATCATGAGGAAAGAGAATAGTGCAAGAAATCAACCATTGTTCCTATCTGTGTAGGTTTTATATAAGTATCTTATGTACTTGCTTTTCGGCCCTTTGGATTTGTTGCTGGTTTAGAACTTTGGCTAACATGGGACTAGGGCCCTATGATATTTCAAAGTAGTTTTGAAATTAGATGCCACAAGATAGCATGAATAGCATTTATTGAACCATGATAAACTGATGGTTTAGATTTTAATCTTAACGTTGAATGACGTTTATCTTCTTCCCACCTCACCTCACCACTGTCTCTTACCCCAGGGAAAGCTTTAGGAAAATCAACAGTGGTGCCTGTTCCATATGAGAAGATGCTGCGAGATCAGTCGGCTGTGGTGGTGCAGGGGCTTCCAGAGGGAATTGCCTTTAAACACCCTGAGAACTACGATCTTGCGACTCTGAAGTGGATTTTGGAGAACAAAGCAGGGATTTCATTTATCATTAAGAGGTAAAGTATTTTTGTCCCTTGCCCATCAATAGTCTATTTATATAAAATTGAATAATTCAGCTTATTTTATTATATTTGAAAAACTCATGCTTAGTGTGGAAGTCACTTAAATTTATGCTCTCCAGTAATTTTGGTTTGTGTATTCTTAGAGTTGTTTTGTTTTCTTTCAATGCAGACCTTTCCTGGAGCCAAAGAAGCACCTAGGTAAGGGACTGCTTTGCCTGCGTGATAGCTGGTTGCGTTCCTGAATCCATTGTGCCAAATTTAATACGTTGTAATGATTTCTCTTACTTCCTTTGAGAATATGATGTAAGATATTTTGGAGTGAGGCATTATGATACTTATATAAACCAATGAAAAGTCTTTGCGAGTAGAATAGTTTTCAGCTCTGCTACTTTGTTTATGATGTGTACTCAAAGTTTTATGGTTGCAGTATGAATATGATTTCATTTCTTTAATATTTATTGCATAGGCATGGAATTATTAAGCACAAGATTGTGTGGGGAGGGGATACACAACTATGTGTAAGCATTAAAGGTTTTGAGTGCTGCTGGTCTAATGGAAAAGATGAAAAAAATCCATAGTCTCCCGAGCAAGGACGTGCTGCAGGAATGGCGAGAGAAAGTGCTGCAGAAGTTTGTTGGAGGAAGGATTCTGTCATAGTCCAGGAAGGCTTTCATGAAGAAGAGAGCATTAAGATGAGCCCTTAAAGAAATGAGGAGTTGAACAGGATTTTCTTTGGGGAAGTCAGCCATTCCATTTGATGGGAAGAGTGATAGAAGACTAGGACTCCTTGGAGCAAGGTTCATTTGAGACTTTTCAAAATAAATAACCATTGCCATTGGCAACCTCTTAACCAATGTGAGGATAAAATGGAAGGATAATGTATACACACCCAAACATATTTTGTTTTCTGTTAAATAATCTTTATTTTGTTTTCATCATGATGACAAGATTAATTTGTAGAAGTTTTATTGAATTATAATTGGCATGCCATAAAATGCACCAATTTTAAGTATATCATTCAGTGATTTTTGGAAGATGTACAATTAAAAAATTAAAAAACAGAAATTTATAACCATTGCCACAGTCTAATTTTAAAATATTTCCATCATCCCCATCTGTTACTTCATGAATGTTATATAATTGAAACACACAGGTTGTATCCTTACAACATGTCACTTCGGGACGATGCTTCAACCAACTGAGCTACTGGCCAGGGCCTTGAAATTAGCTTTTTTCACTCAGCATAATTGATTTGAGACAACCTTGGCCCAGGATGGTTATGAATGCGGCCCAACACAAAATCATAAATTTACTTTAAACATTAAGAGATTTTTGTGTTCTTGTTAGTGTTTGTGTATTTAATGTGTGGCCCAAGATAGCTCTTCCTCTTCCATTGTGGCCTGGAGATGTCAAAAGGTTGGACACCCCTGATCTAGGCTGTTGGGCATATCATCATTTTTTCCCTTTTTATTACTGAATATTAAGTATTCCATTGCATGAATATATCAGCCATTTACCCATTTATCAGTTGATAGACATTTAGATAGTTCCCACTTGGCTGTTATTAACATTAATACTATGACCATAATTAAACAAGTTTTTATGTGTATGTATTTGATTGAATTTCTCTTGGATATATGTATACCTAGGAGTGGAAATTCTGGATCATAGTGCAATTTTTCATTTAACTGAGAAACTCCCAAACTGTTTTCCAAAGTGACCATTCCATTTAATGTTCTTACTAGCATTGCTTGAGGGTTCAAGTTTCTCCACACTCCTTTTGTTTTTGCCATCTCAATGAGTGTGAAATGGTATTTCGCTGTGGTTTTGATTTGTGTAAACCTGATACTAAAGTTGAGTATCTTTTCATATACTTCCTGGCCATTCAATGTATATATTCTTTGGAGAAATGACTAATCAGATCCTCTCCCTGTGGGGTTTGTTTTATTTTATTTTATTTTATTTATTTTTAGAGAGAGGGGAAGGAAGGAGAAAAAAGAGAGAAACTTTGATGTGTGAGAGATACATTGATTGGTTGACTCTCACATGCCCCCAAATGGGGACCTGGCCCACAACCCAGGCACCCGAGGCACATTTGCTGACAGGGAATTGAACCAGCCACCTTTCTGCTCACAGGCCAGCACTCAGTCCACTGAGCCACACCAAGCAGGGCCCTTTCTACATGTTTCAGTTGGGTTATTTGTATTTTTATTATTGAGTTATAAGAGTTCTTTATATATTCTTCCTATAAATATTTTCTCTAGTTCTACAAATTGCCTTTTCACTTGCTTGATAATGTTCTTCGAGAAACAAAAGTTTTTAATTTTTGTGAAATTCATTTTACCTTTTATTACTGTGCTTTGATGTTGTAAATTAAGAGACTATTGCCAAACCCCAAGGTCCTGAAGATTTGTTAGTTTTCTTCTGTTTCATAGGTTTAGTTCTTACATTTAGATATACTTTCAATTTTGAGATAATTTTGGTATATGGTAAGGGCATAAACTGATACTCAGTTTGTGCCAGCAGAATTTGTTGAAAAGACTATTCTTTCCTCTAGAATTGCTTTGGCATCTTTGTTAAAAGTTAGTTGACCCTGTACATAGACATTCTGTGCCTCCTTGCACAACCAAGATAGGGATAACAACAATTTAGAAACAGAATAACAACCAGAACTGACAGAAAATTGAACTGTATGGAAGTCAGACAACTAAGAAGTTAAAATAGACCCGTTCGTCCAGCCCTGTAGGAGGGGCGGAGTCGGGCAGCCAGGCTCATGCAGAGAGCTTTGGGACCGGAATGTAAGGCATCCAGGGCGTGCAAGACCTCAGTGGGTGGACCCTGAGTGTGCAAGCAGCAACTGGCAGACCGCTGCTGAGGGGTGGCAAACGGCAGACCCAGTTAGGCGGGAATTGTGAAGCAAGGCACTGTGCACAACCTAGGATAACAGCACTGGGAAATAGAACCTCGGGACACTGATTGAAAACACCTGTGGGGGTTGAGGTGCAGGGAGAAACTCCCATCCTCACAGGAGAGGTCCTTGGAAAGTCCCACAGGGTACACAAGCCCACCCACATGGGAATTGGCACCAGAGGGGCCCAGTTTGCTCAGGGGAAGCGGGTGAAGGGAATGAGGTCCGACAGAGAGTGAAGCTAACACCACTGTTCCCTCTCAGACCCTGCCCCCCCATACAAGGGTCACAACCCAGCGACTCGGATGCCCTGCCCTGGTGAACACCTAAGGCTCCGCCCCTCATACGTAACAGACACTGGCCTGACCGAAGGGGGGTGGGGAAAGATGGCTCAAACAGAATGACAGCTCCACAATCAGTACTTTTAAGCAACCGAGAGATAGCCAACCTATCAGATGCATAGTTCAAAGCACTGGTGATCAAGATGCTCACAAAATTGGTTGATTTTGGTCACAAATTTGATGAAAAAAATGAAGGCTGCGATAAGTGAAATAAAGGAAAATGCACAGGGGACCAATAGGGATGGAATGAAAGCTGGGTCTCACATCAGTGGAGTGGACCAGAAGGAAGAAAGAAGCATGATCAGAAAACAATGAAGAATTAAGAATTCAAAAAAATGAGGAGAGGCTGAAGAACCTCCAGGACATCTTTAAATGTCCCAACATCCCAATTATAGGGGTACCAGAAAAACAAGAGGAAGAGCAACAAGTGGAAAAATTATTTGAACAAATAATAAAGGAGAACTTCCCCAATCTGGCAAAGGAAATAGACTTCCACGAAGTCCAGGAAGCTCAAAGAGAGTTCCAAGTAAGTTGGACCCAAGGAGGAACACACCAAGGCACATCATAATTACATTAGCCAAGGTAAAAATGAAGGAGAGAATTCTAGAAGCAGCAAGAGATAAGGAGACAGTAACCTACAAAGGAGTTCCCATCAGACTGTCAGCTGATTTCTCAAAAGAGACCTTACAGGCAAGAAGGGGCTGGAAAGAAGTATTCCAAGTCATGGAAGGCAAGGACCTACATCCAGGATTGCTCTATCCAGCAAAGCTTTCAGTTAGAATGGAAGGGCAGATAAAGTGTTTCTCAGATAAGGTCAAGTTCAAGGAGTTCATAATCACCAAGCTTTTATTATATGAAATGTTAAAGGGACCTATCTAAGAAAAAGAAGATAAAAATCATGTATAATAAAATGATAGCAAACTCACAATTATTAACAACCACACCTAAAACAAAAACAAACTAAGCAAACAACTAGAACAGGAACAGATCCACAGAAATGGAGATCACATGGAGCGTTATCAACAGGGGAGTGGGAAGAGGAGAGAGGGGGAAAAGGTATAGAGAATAAGTAGCATAGATGTAGGTAGAAAATAGACAGGGGGAGGGCAAGAATAGTATGGGAAATGTAGAAGCTAAAGAACTTATGACACCTGGACATGAACTGAAGAGGGGAATGTGGGTGGGAGAGGGTGTGCAAGGTGGAGGGGAATGAAGGGGGTAATGGGTCAACTGTAATAGCATAATCAATAAAATATATTAAAAAAAAAGAAATAGTTGACCCTAACTTTATTTCTGGGCTTTCTACATGGTGAATTATGTTGTGTGTAAACCAAGACAGTTCATTTTTTTTGCAATATGAATGATTTTTATTTCTTAATTCTGTTGATGGGGCTAGAACATCCAATAAAACATTTCACCTTGTCCTAGATATTAGCTGGAAGGCATCCAGGCTTCCGCCATTATGATGTAGCTGTTGTTTCTCTGTGCATGTCCTTTTTAAGACTGAGAAAGAAGGTTTCTTTGTCATGTTTAAACTAAAATTCAGGCTTTTTTTGTGCTATGTTTTTTTCCCTTAAAGCTTCCTAGATTAGACTTAAGTCTGCTATTTGTATTTTCTGAAATCTTTTATTTTAGAAACTTGCTTTCAAATGTTGTCACCTGGGCATTAATCAATGACATTTTTTTTTTAGGTTTATTTATTTTGTTTAGAGAGAGGGGAAGGGAGGGAGAAAGACAGAGAGAGAAACATCAATACATGGTTGCCTCGTGCGCCCCCATCTGGGGACTTGTCCTGCAGTCCGGGCGTGTGCTCTGACATGGGATCAAACCCAAGAACTTCTGGTTTGCGGAACGACGCCCAACTCCCTGAGCCACACCAGTCAGAACTAACGAGTATTTCTGTAGGGTGTTTTCTAGTGAGTGGTCTCAATTGGTGGGTTTGTATTACTTGGCTTCTTTGCCATACCAGCTCTCAAAGTAATTGAAATGTTGTGATTGTGGTGGGATTATATTTTTTGCTTCTAAAACATTTTAATAGCTTTATTGAGACTTATATCCAATAACCCCACAGATATTTAAAGTATATAATTTGATAAGTTTTGATACTGTGAAACCATCACTACAATCAAGACTGTGAATACATCTTTTACCCCAGAGTTTCCTCACACCCCTGGGTGATTCCTCCCTCTGGTCCTTCCATCCCTCTTCCCTAGGCCACCACTGATCTGCTGTCACTCTAGATTGTTTGCATTTTCTAGATTATTTTGTGTAAATGGAGCCATATAGTATGTACCTTTTTTTGGTTTGACTTATTTGGAGACTTAATTCATGTTGTTTCATGTGTCAGCAGTCCATATTTTTAAATTGCTGAGTGGTATTCCATTGTATTGGTACACTGCAATTTGTTCAGTCATTCACCTGTCTGTGAAAATATGGTTTTTCATTACTTGGCTGTTACAAAGAATGTGCTATGCATATTTGAGTGCAAGTCTTCATGTGAATAGATATTTTCATTACTTTGATAAATACGTAAAGTTGGAATAGTTAGATCGTATGGTAGCTATACATTTAACTTTTTAAGAAACTGCTGGACAGCCCTGGCTGGTGTGACTCAGTGGATTGAGTGCCGGCCTGCGAACCAAAGGGTCGCCAGTTCAGTTCCCAGTCAGGGCACATGCCTGGGTTGTAGGTCTGATCTGCAGTGGAGTGGGGCACATCAGAGGCACCCACACACTGCTGTTTCCCTCAGTTTCTCCCTCTCTTCCCCTTTCTCTAAAAATAAAATCTTAAAAAAAAAGAAACTGCTGGACTGAGTTTACATGATTGTTCCATTCCTACTAGCAGTGTATGAGACTACATCTTCATCAGCATTTGGTGGGGGCAGCCCCTTCTTTCCTTCCTTTCCTCCTTCCCTCGTTCCTCCCTCCCTTCCTCCCTCCCTCCCTCCCTTCCTTTCTTTCTTCCCTCCTGTTCTTCCAGAACAAAATTCTTGATGCTAAAGTATACAATTCATTGGGTTTTAGTATATTCACAAGATGTACAACTATCACTGTTATATTACTTCAGAGCATTTTCATTACCCTAAACAGAAACCATATACTTGTCAGCAGCCCCTGTCTTCCGAGTCCTCAGAACCAGCTCTACTCTTAATAGAAATTTTTATTGTTTATACATCAGTAGAGTCTTACTCTACATTCTAGAGTAATAGTACATTGCTGTGTTTGTTTCACTGACAAAAGTAAGAGTTTTTTCATTAAAGGGAGGGTGCTGTGGGTGAGGGGATAAAACTGGTCAGATCTTTGTCATCCCTAATTACCTTCCTTATAAGGGAACACAAAAGGCACTTTTATAAACTAGTGCAATACTCACTCTAGTATGACCCACAACTGTGAACTCCCTTCTCCCAGTTCATTCTATATTTAGGACCTTTGGGAGTATTAGTCATATTTCAAGTGTTGTAAGAACTTAAATCTCTTTTTTTGTATATATAGGTGGTCGTGTGATGGTAACAGATACTGAAAGGTCAATGCTATCTCCAGGTGGAAGGTAAAAAAATTAATTAGTACTAATTAACTTGTACACTTCACCAAGTTTTAGTTTTTAAATTACTGAGTTACTGGAATATTGAAAAGGCCTATGTCACACATGTTGAAGATTAATATGCAATTGAATCATTGGGGGATCCTGTGAAGATGCAGTTTTTGACTTACTAGTTCCGCATGAAAGTAGTTCCTGGGTGAAAGTGATGTGATTGTCTGATGATCAGATTGTAGATAGAAAGTCCTTGTAGGTAAAGTGGAATTTGAAAGTTAATTTGCTACTCTGTATTGTTTTGTTAATACTCCCCCCACCCCCAAAAATGTTCAATTAGAATTAAAGTACTACATTCAGTCGACAGGTCATATTCAAGGAATAAATACGTAAATTCCAAAAGCTGATTCAGTGTGCATTCAGCTTGGTCAGGTGAATGATTTGATGCTGAGATGCAGTGCATGTGAATGCTGTGTGAGTGGCCCTCACCGATGCAGAGCTTCCTTTCCCTTTCAGTTGTGGCTCCATCAAAGTGAAAACTGAACCGACGGAAGAGTCTGGTAAGTACTGGTGCTTTTAGAAGCAATTATGAAATTTAAGTAAGGAAGCCTTTTAATATAGTAGGTTATATTTGGACTCATTACTTATTATTTTGATGAGAAGTACAAATTTATTTCAATGGTGACATTATTTGTTAGTGTTAGCATATTATACGAAACTCAAAAGATAGTAATTTGTTTGATAAATGGTAGCTAGAGAAATTTGCTAATTACACTTTTGTGGACAGAATTTTTTAATAGTTTTTACTTTTCAGTTATACTGGAATAATAATATAAAATGCCAGCTAGGTTTTTTTTGTTGTTTTTTTACAAAAATTAATATACTACTCTCTTATTCTCCTTTTCCTTTTGCATACTCCCATTTTCTACTCTCCAAGGAAACTGCTGTTAACTCAAAGCTTTTTTTGCTATATTTGGTTCCTGATTGCTTATTTTTAAATGTTATGTTCATAATGTTATTTCACATAGATTTTTTTGATAGCTTTATTGAGAGGTACTTTACATGCCAGAGAATTTATCCATCTTAAGTGTATAATTCATTGATGTTTAGTAGGTATACAGTTTTGCAGTGGTCAGTACAGTCTAATTTTAGAACACTTCCATCACCCCAACTAGAAACCTAGTTCCCGTTTTGAGTCACTCTCTATACCCAACACTGATTCAAGTTTAGTAGACATTTAATACACGTGGAATCAAAGAGTACATAATGTTTTACGTTTTGCTTCTTTTACTTTGCATCATGTTTTGAGGCTCACCTTCAATAAACGTTATAGTGCGTTTAAGTGGTTCATACCTGAATGTTATTCCATTCTACTAATATACTATCTTTTCTTTATCCAAATACCGTTTGGTAGACATCTAAGTTTTTCCCACTTTTTGGTTGTTTTGAATACCACTGCTGTGAACATCCACTTATTTATCTTTGTTTGGAAATATGTCTTCTTTTCTTCTGAGTGAATGCCTAGGAGTGTTGCTGTGTCTCTGGCAATTCTGTGCTTAACTTGAGCTACCAACAAACTTTTCCCAAGTGGCTGCACCATTTTTTGTCTTAGCACCAGTGTATGAGGGTTTCTGTTTCTCCGTATCTTGGTCAGTACTTGTTATCATCTGTCTTTTTTTTATTATAGCTGTCCTAGAGGGTGTTTCTTTTCTTTTTCTTTCTTCTTTTGCTTTTAAATAGACATTTTATGGCAGTGTTAGCAAGGTTGGCCAGAAAGTACAGAATGTTCCCATACACCTTCTACCTCCACACATGCACAGCCTCCCTTGCGATTAGCCTCCCACATCAGAGTGGTGCATTGTTCATATTGATGAACCTACCGTGATACATCATGATCTCAAAGTCCATAGTTTACATTAGGGTTGTGTCTTGCACATTCTGTGGATTTTAACAAATGTATGATGACACGTATCCACTATTACAGTAACATACAGAGTAGTTTCACTGTCCAAAAAATTCTCTGTGCTCTGCCTTCTCATTTCTGTCCCCTGACACCTGGCCATCATTGATCTTTTTAGTGTGTCCAGAATGTCCTATGATTGTGGTTATAATTTGATTTTCCTAATGATTTTGAGTGTGTTTTCATATGCTTATTCACTATTCAAATATCATGTGTGATGAAATGTCTGTTTAGCCCTAGCTGGTGTGGCTCAGTGGATTGAGTGCTGGCCTGCAAACTGAAAGGTTGCTGGTTTGATTCCAGGCCAGGTCCCTCTCTGTGGGCATGTGAGAGGCAACCAATGATGTATCTTTCACATGTCAAAGGTTCTCTCCTTCTTTCTGTCTCCCTTCATATCTTTCTAAAAATAAATAGAATCTTTTTTAAAAAGTCTATTTAAATCTTTTGCCTAATTTTAAATTGGATTGTTTGTTTTCTTGCCTTTTTTTAGAGTTATATGAGCTCTTTATATATTCTGCCTACAGGTCTATTATCAGAGATAAGGTTTCATACATATATTCTAGTCCGTGGGTTTTGTTTCTTCATTTAAAACTTTATTTATATTTTATTGCATTTTCCCCCTTACCATTTAGTCCCCTTATATCCCCCTAAAAATTTTTAAAAGATTTTATTTATTTATTTTTAGAGAGAGAAGAAGGAAGGGAGAAAGAATATTAGTGTTAGAAACATTGATTGGTTTCCTCTCATATGTGCCCCAAATGGGGACTGAACCCTCAACCCAGGCATGTGCCTTCACTGGGATTTGAACTAGTGACCTTTCACTTTGTGGGATGATGCTTAATACACTGAGCCACACTGGTCAGGGTTTTTCCCTTCATTTTTTAATTGTTTTGTTTTGACGCCTAAAGAGTTTTATTTGGATGCAACCCAGTTTTCCAATTTTTTTTAATGGCTTGTGCTTCTAGTATTATATTAGAAAAACTTTGCCCGCCTAAGTCACAAAGATTTTTATGGTTATGTTTTCTTCTGAATTTTATAGTTTTAGCTATTATGTTTAGACCTAAGATCCATTTAAAATTAATTTTTGTGCATGTGGTCGAGTAAAGATCTAAATTCATTATTTTGTATGCAGGTATACTGTTTTCCCAGCACCATTTATTGAAAAGATATCCTACAGGAACAAATTTAAAGGACACATGGACAGAAACTAGGGGGAGGGTGGTAATGGGAGGGAAGTGGGGAGGGTTGGGGGGGGTGGGCTGGAATGGGAGTAAAAGGGAGAAAACTGTACTTGAACAATGATTAAAATAAAAAAATTTAAAAAAAATGAGAACAATCAACATTCTACCACGTGAGAGATAGCTGATGTACTCAAGATATTTAAATCAATAAAGTTATTGGTGAAAATGAAAAAAAAAGAAAAGATATCCTTTCCTCATTAGATTGCCTTAGCACCTTTGTCAAAAGTTATGTGGCCAAATTTACTTTTATTTCTATTTCCTTGAACTCAAATATTTATTTTTATCCCAGTACCACATTGTACCACATTGTATTTTATGTAGTTTTAAAATTTCGTTTTGTTTCCTGGTAACATATAGAAAATGAGGATATCATTATTATGTTTTTTGAGTTTTTTTAAAGATTTTATTTATTTCTTTTTAGAGAGGGAAGGGAGGGAGAAAGAGAGAGAGAGAGAAACATCAATGTGTGGTTGCTGGGGGTCATGGCCTGCAACCCAGGCATGTGCCCTGACTGGGAATCAAACTGACGACCCTTTGGTTCACAGCCCGTGCTCAATCCACTGAGCTACGCCAGCCAGGGCCATTATTATGTTTTTAATGTTTATTGATTTTAGAGAGGACGGCGGGGGGAGAGAGAAACATCAATTGGTTGCCTCCCATTTGCACCCTGATTGGGAATTGAACCTTCAACCCTTTGGTGTCCGGGTTGATGCTCTAACCAACTCAGCCACCCTGGCCAGGGCAAGGATACCATTATTATACTATTCACTTTGTTTTCTGTTTCTTTTCTTTAAAAAGATTTTATTTATTTACTTTTTTAGAGAAAGGGAAAAGGAGGGAAAAAGAGACAGAGAGAAAGATCAATGTGTGAGAGAACCACCTATTAACTGCCTCACCATAGGCATGTGCCCTGACCACACATCAAACTGGTGACCCTTTGCTTTGCCAGATGATAGCCAACAAACTGAGCTGCATTGGTCTGGGCTGTACCATTTACTTTCAGTACTTTTCCTTTTTCCACTTCTACTATATAGTTACAATTATTTTTACTGTTCAGGTTCTGTCAGATCTCAGTGTGATCTGGAAACTTTTACTTAATACTTGCTTTCTTGCCATGTTTCCTTTCTAGAGGCATGAGTGATTTTGCTTATTTAAAGAGGACACAGCTCTTCATGACTTGATTACATTACAGTTTTTTTTTGAAATTTTGGTTCTATGATAAAACTCTGAATGAAAGCAACTTCATCTTTTAAAAGTAATGTATAACTATTGTTTTAATATATTTTATTGCGTATGCTATTACAGTTGTCCCATCCCCCCCTTCATTCCCCTCCACCCTGAACACCCTCTCCCACCCACATTCCCCTCTTCAGTTCATGTCCATGTCTCATAAGTTCTTTAGCTTCTATATTTCCCGTACTATTCTTGCCCTCCCCCTGTCTATTTTCTACCTACCATCTATGCTACTTATTCTCTGTACCTTTTCCCCCTCTCTCTTCCTCCCACTCTCCTGTGGCTAACCCTGCATGTGATCTCTGTTTCTGTGGTTGTGTTCCTGTTCTAGTTGCTTGCTTAGTTTATTTTGTTTTAGTTGTGGTTGTTAATAATTATGAGTTTGCTGTCATTTTACTATACATGTTTTTTTTCTTCTTCTTAGATAGGTCCCTTTAACATTTCATATAATAAGGGCTTGGTGATGATGAACTCCTTGAACTTGACCTTATCTGAGAAACACTTTATCTGCCCTTCCATTCTAACTGAAAGCTTTGCTGGATAGAGCAATCCTGGATGTAGGTCCTTGCCTTCCATGACTTGGAATACTTCTTTCCAGCCCCTTCTTGCCTGCAAGGTCACTTTTGAGAAATCAGCTGACAGTCTGATGGGAACTCCTTTGTAGGTGACTGTCTCCTTATCTCTTGCTGCTTCTAGGATTCTCTCCTTCATTTTTACCTTGGCTGATGTAATTATGATGTGCCTTGGTGTGTTCCTCCTTGGGTCCAACTTCTTTGGGACTCTCTGAGCTTCCTGGACTTCCTGAAAGTCTATTTCCTTTACCAGATTGGGGAAGTTCTCCTTTATTATTTGTTCAAATAACTTTTCCACTTGTTTTTCCTCTTCCCCTTCTGGTACCCCTATAATTGGGTGTTGGAATGTTTAAAGATGTCCTGGAAGTTCCTAAGCCTCTCCTCATTTCTTTGAATTCTTGTTTTTTCATTATTTTCTGTTGGATGTTTCCTTCTTTCTTCTGGTCCACACCATTGATCTGAGTCCCAGTTTCTTTCCCATCACTATTGGTTTCCTGTGCATTTTCCTTCATTTCACTTAGCGTAGCCTTCATTTTTTCATCTAATTTGCAACCAAATTCAACCAGCTCTGTGAGTATCCTGATGAACAGTGCTTTGAATTGTGCATCTGATAGGCTAGTGATCTCTTCATTGCTTAGTTGTATTTGTTGTGCAGCTTTGATCTGTTCTTTTGTTTGGACCATTTTTTTTTTGTCTTGACACGCCTGTTATGTAGTGAGGGGAGGAGCCTTAGGTATTCATCGGGGTGGGGCAACCCATGTCGCTGGTTTGTGACGCTGTATGTCGGGAAGGTGTCGGAGAGGGAACAATAGTGCCTGCTCCACTCTCTGCTGGATCCTAGTCCCTTCTGCCACTTCCCCCAAGCAAACTGGGCCCTTCTGGTGCTGATTCTCATGTGGGTGGGCTTGTGTACGTTCTAGGACCCTGTGGGTCTCTCCAGCAAACTCTCCTGTGAGGCTGGGAGTCTCTCCTGGCACCTCAATCCCCACAGGTCTTTTCAGTTGTTTTGGGTTTTATTTCACCATGCTGGAGCCCTAGGTTGTGCGTTTCGTCTCGCTCCCCAGTATCACCTGGTTTATCTGCACATGAATGTGGGACTGCCCGGGGTCTGCCAGCTGCCTTGTGCTCCGTGCCCTGCTCCACCGGCTGCTGCTGGTTTTTTGGGGGGATTTTGCCTCAACCCCTCTTTGCCTGGCCACCCAACTCTGCCCCTCCTACCGGTCTGGATGAATGTTTCTTCTTTAACTCCTTGGTTGTCAGACTTCCATGCAGTTCAATTTTTTGTCAGTACAGGTTGTTTTTCTGTTTCTAAATTGTTGTCCTTATTTTGGTTGTGCGAGGAGGCACAGTGTGTCTAACTACACCTCCATTCTGGCCAGAAGTCCGGTACCATTAACTTTTAAAGGTGATGTTATATTTATAGAACAAAAAGAAAATCAACTACATACCTACTGAAAACAAAACATTCATAATCTGAGTTTGACTTCAGTAAGTGTTAAAAATTCCACATAAAATAATAACTTGGATTAAAAACACTTGAAAACAATTTAATAATCCTTTGAATGCTTTTTTTAAAAAAAGATTTCATCCATTTTTTATTTTTAGAGACAGGGGAAGGGAGTGAGAAAGAGGGAGAGAAACACCAAAGTATGGTTGTTTCTCGTGCGCCCCCCACTGGGGACCTGGCCCACAACCCATACATGTGCCCAGCCTAGGAAGGGAACCAGCAGCCATTTGGTTCAGAGGCCAGCTCTCAATCCACTGAGCCACAGCAGCCAGGGCTGAATGGAGAAAATTTTAATGTACAGATTAACAAGTTATAGTTATTAACTGTATAAAAGGAGGAATATGCTAAGGTGTCATCATGTAAGTAACAAGGTAAGGAATTGGCTGCTACCCCTAAAACTCTTAATTCTGACTTCTAAGTTGGGAAATTATTGATTATTGATATAGTTGTGGTTGGTTTATTAGGGGACATGTTGAAAGTTGTTCTGGGAGTGTTGGAAAAATTGTGAGTCCAACTATGGGACGGGTCTGCTTTCAGTAGGTTGAAATAGTATACCGAGCAGTGAGTGAGTGTTGACAAGAAGCCAAGAGAAAGATGCAGGTCCCTCTTCTCTCTGGTCTCCTAGCTGTGTTCCTTTGTGGAAGAAACTCACAAGGAGCCAGCTGGTTTGCTTCAGCCTAAGTTGGTTTGCTAGCCTAAGAGGGTAGATCTGGAACTGGGACAACAGCCTAATGACTGCACAGGCTACCCGTTCGCTACTCAACGTTCACACACACCCTTTTCCACATAGTTTAACTTTGTATAACAAAGGACTGTTCCCATCTAATTGTATACAGTTTTCCATTTTACAGAATAATTCATCGTCACCCTCTCCCTGAAGTGTGATGCAGTGCTCCAGCCGTCATTGTACTCATCTCAGGGAGATGGGTTTACTGTCCATTCATGAGCTGTATTAATTCCTCTTCAGAATAACTCCTAACCCATTTGAGCATTTTCTTATCTAACGGCTAAACAGTAAAGGAAATGCCAACAATATACTTCTGTAAAGCAATAATGTGAAGGATAAGGGAGAACAGTTAATATATCCAAATATGTAATATTCACAGAAACATATTTATAACAAGGAATAAACTATGCACAGTGTCCATGTTTCTACAACTCATGACAAGAATTTATACCTTCCTTAACTGGTTACCCATTTTACTGTGTTTCGTTTGCTGTTAGCCAGGGCCTTAGCTGGTAAAGTTCTTCAGCTGGGTGAGGTGACCCAGACCTTTATTCCTGAAGGGTCTGAATCCCCAGTGGATCTGCCTTTTTTTTGTTTGTTTTGATTTTCTGTTAACTTTTACTGACAAACAGGATGTACTGAAGAGGCAGCCCACAGAATCCCAGACATGTTCCCTGACCATGCTCTGGCAGCCAGCTAGTTTCCCCATTGGCAATGGCAGCCCATAGAGTAACACCTTCTTTGCTGGTTGCTTTAGAGATAAATGTCCTTTAGCATATCAAACTAACTCTCTTTTGGAAAGCTATTTCTTTTTTTTAAGATTTTATTTATTTATTCTTAAGAGGGTAAGAGAAGGAAAAAGAGAGGGAGGCAAACATTGGTTGGTTGCCTCTTGCATGCCCCCAACCTGGGACCTGGCCTACAACCCAGGCATGTTCCCTGACTGGGAATTGAACCAGCGACCTTTCAGTTTGCAGGCCGGCACTCAGTCCACTGAGCCACACCAACCAGGGTGAAAGCTATTTTCTTTAGTTGAAAATACTCTTTGCAAAGCTTCTCAAATCACATGACACCAATGCAATATTAAGTTCCTAACAGGACTGGTATGATTATGGTTGAGTATCTTAGTCTGAAATGTGTACAGACACCCATTTGGGTTTTTTTTTTTTATTAATTAGACTATTCAGATTTCACCACCTTGTTGTTATTTCTTGCTGCTTGCTATCTGAGAGTATTACTTAACTCCTGTAATCATATGAGGAAAACAATTTTTTTTTGAAAGCTCCTATGGTCTAGTCTCATTAGATCACTCAACAAAGGATATTCATTTATTTTTTTAATTATTAAAATTTTTTTTCAGTTACAGTTGACATTCAACATTATATTGGTTTCAGGTATATAGCCCAGTGGTTAGACACTTACATAACTAATGAAGTGCTTCCCCCTATAAATAAGTCTAGGACACCCCTAATACCATATCTAGTTATTAACAATATTATTGACTATGTTCCCCATGCTGTACTTTACATCCCTGTGACCATTTGGTAACTGCCCATTTGTACTTTTTAATCCCTTTACTGTTTTCACCCTTTAAAAAAAATTCTTACCTGAGGGTATGTTTATTGATTTGAGAGAGAGAGGGAGAGAGAAGGAGAAACATCGATTGGTTGCTTCCTGTACTCACCCCGACTGGCAGTTGAACCCATAACCCTGCAACTTGGGTATGTGACCTGACTAGTTGGTGAACCCGCAACCTTATAGTGTACCAGATGACACTGTAGCCAACTGAGTCACCTGGCCAGGGCTTCACCCTATTTTCTCATGATACAGAGTGAGGCAAAAGTAGTTTTACTCTTGTGAATACACCTTTACTCTTGTGTTATTCTTATTAATTATTGTATTATTTTCCATATGAACAAATGTATACCTACTTTTGTCCCACCCTGTATATGAGGAATATATCTTTAATAAGAATTTATTAAAGAATTTGTTAAGAATCTTTCTTAAAACTTTTCATTGAGATATCATATAAAGTATAAATAAATAAAAAAAAAGCACACCTCTGTAACCAAACACTCACATCAGGATACTGAACAGTAGTGATACGCCAAGAAGGCCCTCTCCTGTCCCCTTCTTATTACTCTTCTCCCAAAGCCGACCACTTGCTTCTTTTTTTAACCAGAGTTCTATATATTTTTATTTTTTTCTTCAGCTTTATTGAGGTATAATTGCCATTATTTCAGTTTTAATAACAAAGATTTCTTTTCCCTAATTTTGACCTTTCTGTATGTGGAATTATAAAACATGATTGCTTTTATATCTGGCTACAAAAGTGCACTTCAACTTACCACCCCTCTGATTGTAGGCAAAGGATTCTACAGAAAGGTGTGTTTTTGTACCCTTATTAACAAAGCAGTTTTTTAGGAGGAAAAAAATTAGAGTATTTCATTATTAAAATGGATAAAAATTATGCTATTTTTACTCTGAAATATTGATTGTTAAAACCAATACTCACAAGTAATTTTCAGTGGCTGGTAAAAGTATTTTTAATAGTGAATGAATACAGAGTGTGACTGATTTTCTTTAATTCCAAAGACAAGAACTGTCAGAGAAAAAATTAGCAGCAAAAAATCCCAGAATATTAATAGTAGTTAAAACTTTGTCTAGGTTGGATTTTGGGTCATTCCCCCTACCATCCCCTACTACCTCCAACCCCTGCTGCCTAGCATACTTTTATCTTTCAAAGTGTTTAAAATATGCATTACACTGCATTATTAGGAGGGCAGAAGAGATTTCCCTGTACCACTTAACTGAATGTCCTGAAGTGTAATATAATTTCGTTTGCTTTTACAGGTATTTCCTTGGAAATGGCAGCTGTGACAGTGAAGGAAGAATCAGAAGATCCTGATTACTATCTGTATAACATTCAAGGTATTCGTATCTAATACAATTGTTCTTTCCAAAAGGTATTACTGGTGAAAATTTAAATTGATCAATTGCCTGAGTTCTTGAAATACATTTTATTTATTGTTCCTTGATTGGCACGTTTACCTGTAATATATACTAGAATAAAATAAATTTAAAAAATTAGGCAGTACAATAAACTTAATTACAGGGGAAACATAGAAAAGAAAAGCCATTGCTATTTATGAAAGGTACAGTAAAAGCAGCACAACCTAGAATTCAATTCCAGTTTCTGATATTTGTAAGGCATGAATGATCTTCTGAAACTTTAATAGTTCGTTAAAAAATTTTTTTAATTAATTTTAGGAAGTGGGAGAGAGGAACATTGATTTGTTGTTCCACTTATTTATGCATTTATTGGTTGATTCTTATATGTGCTCTGACTGGGAATCAAACCTACAACCTTGGTGGATTGGGTGGATGCTCTAACCAACTGAGCTATTCAGCTTGGGTGTTGAAACTTTAATAATTGTATTTGTGCAACAAAAATAACTGTGTAAACATTATCATTATCTTAAAAATCTATAAAAGGTAAGACAGTAAGCTATAGCTACTTTTTGTTACATGTCTTTTTGCTTGATTATGAGGAAGGAATTAAAATTTATAATTTCACAATGAATTTTGCTTTTAAGCCTTAATAGACTTTAGTTTAGAAGAATGTTTTCTAGATTTCATAGAAAGTTTAATTTTTTGCATGTGTAAATTACATCAAAACATTTAAAGAGTAAAATCTGTTTAGTTTTTTTGTGTATGCCTATCAAACCATGGTCACTTCAATCAAGATAATGAAATGTCCATCACCTCCAAGCTTCCTTGTGTCCCTTTGTCAATTCGCTGCTCTCCCCAAGCAACCACTGATGTGTTTTCTATCACTTTAGATTAGTGTCCATGTTTTAGAAATTTATATAAATGGAATCGTCACCAAGTATGTACTGTTTTTCCTGGAGGGTGGTGTGCTGTGAATTGCTTCACTCCATTCTATTGTTTTGCAGTTCACCCATGGTGTTCCATATAGCAATAGCTAGTTCCATTTTCTTTCTGGGTATTATTCTATTGTATGGCTATACTGCAATTTGTTTGTCCCTTTGTTTATTGATCGACATTTAGTTGTTTCCAGTTTGGGCTGTTAGGAAATAAAGCTGCTGTCAACTTTTGTTTGCAAATTCTTGTGTGGAAATATGCCTTCCTTTCTCCTGAGTAGATTCCTAGAAATGGAATAGCTGGGACATATGTGGTAGGTATTCAACTTTTTAAGAAACTGCCAAACTGCTTTGCACAGTGCATGAGTATACTATTTTACATTTCCTTCAGCAGTGTATGCTAGTTCAAGTTGCTTCACATCCTTGTCAACATTATGTGGTCAGTCTTAATTCTGTATAGTCCTTTTAGTGAATATCTTATGATACCTCATTTTGGTTTTAATATGCATTTGCATAATATAGGATTAGTTCATTTAGAGAGCTAAGCCATTATCTGTTCTGGAATAGTATAAAAGTGTTATGAATGAATTTATTCTGGTTTTAATCATGGGAATGAATACCTGTATCCATATGTTAAACTGTTTTATGGTGAATTCCATGATTTCTATCTGTCAGTTTTGAACATTTTATTGCTTGTGAGATTAGGAATTGCATGGCTAAAAGCTTGAGATAAATGTGAAAGTTTTTAATTAAAAAGTTAAAATTTTGGAAGATATTTAGCCTTCATAGCAGTTGTTAGTACCTTAAAAACATGCATACATATATTAAAGACTTTAATATTCTTTTTTTCAACAGATTGTTTAATTTTTTTAATAATAAGTTTACCTTTCTTTTTAATATTGTGTTTTTAACATTTGTGTTATGTCGACCAGGATTTTGAAAGCTTTTTTTTTCTGGTCCTCTTATGAAATTGGGAGTGCGATTTTAAGATGATGCCTGAATAATAAGAGTTGGAAATCAGATATTATGAGAGGAGAAAGATTGTCTAAAATGATACAGTCTTAAATGCAGTTGAAGAAGGTGGGAGCTAGACAACTAGTTTTTTTTGTTTGTTTGTTTTGTTTTAATCTAGCAAGCTGACAGATACAGTCCATGAAGTTTGGATATTTTTCCTAGTAATTGAATTTTGATAGTTCCTTGTGTATTCTGAGTAAAAGTCCTTTGCAGTGTGATTTGCATACTTAGGGTTTTTTTTTTTCCTTGTATGGATTGTGCTTAAGTATCATAGCTAAGAAATCTTAGTCTGACCCAACATCATAGAGATTTTTTCTTCTATATCATAACAATTTGTATGGGTTTACACATAGGACTTGTCAGTTTAGACCTAGGTTTTGTACAGAGTGCAAGATAATGAGTATCCAGTTTCCCAGCATCCTCTGTTGGAAAGGCTGTTCTTTTTCCATTGCATTACCTTTACATCTCTGTCAGTTTCTTGAGTATATTCTGTTACATTGACCTCTGTGTCTGTCCTTTTGCCAAAATTATATTGTCTTGAAATCATACTGTAAGAGTCCCTCAAAATTGTTCTTTTTCAAAATTATTTTGCCTATTTTAACTTTTATAATTTCATATGAATTTTAAAAATCAGCTGTTGATTGGTTAAAAAATCCGTCAGGGATTTTAATGACAGCTGTGCTGAATCTATAGAGTAACTTGGGTTAAATATCTTAATACAGAACCCTGTAGTTCATGAGCATGGCATGTATGTCTTACCTGTTTAGCTGCGCCTTGATTTCTTTCATCAGTGCATTGTTTTCAGTATAGAGATCTTGTACATACTTTCTAAGATTTATATCTAAACAGTTAAATTTTTTTTTGGTGTTAGTAAGTGGTACTGTTCTTTTACATTTCAGCTTCCAATTATCTATTGCTAACTACAATAGATTTTTTACGTTCTGACCTTGTATCTTGTGACCTAGTTAAAATTCGCTTACTCTAGCAACTTTTTGGTTCAATATTTTGGCTTTTCTAAATAGACATTGTTATTATTTTCCTTTTTTCCCCCTCGTGTTAGTTGTACTGCCTGGGATCATCTAGTGTTATGTTGAATTGGAGTAGTGAGAGCAGATAATCCTACCTTGTCCAGAGAAGAAAATCTTTCAGTATGACAGCTGTGGGTATATGTTTTTGTGTCAGTTTGTGAAGAGTTTTTATGGTGATTGGGTGCTTGTGAAAGGTTTTTATTGCAGCTGTTGAGGTGATTGCATGGTTTTTCTTATTTAGAATATTCAAATGATAATTGGCATTAATTTTCAAATATGGAATCAGCCAGGTATTCCTAGGATAAACCCTACTTGGTTAATTTTTATTTATTTCTTTATTTTTATGTTTCATCCTCACCCAAGGACATTTTTAAAATTGCTTTTAGAGAGAGGGGGAGGGAGGGAGGGAGGGAGAGAGACTACAGTATCAATCAGCTGCCTTCTCGCGTGCCCTGATCTATCTCACAACCTGGGTATGTGCCCTGACCTGGAATTGAACCTGTGACCTTTTGGTCCATAGGAGGACACTCGAACCAGTTGAGAGCCACACTGGCAAGACCCATACTTGGTTAACTTTTAAATTTCTTTTTATACTTATAAGACTATTGAGTTTACGTATTTATTCTTGACTGATTTGGCACATTATATCTTTTAAGGAATTTGTGTATTTTGTCTTGAAGCTTTTTTAATTTTAATGTTAGTAAGGGTTTATCCTGATCCCTCATTTTCAATTTTGTGATTTGTGCCTTTCATTTTTTTCTTGGTTGGTCTAGCTCAGGTTTATCAAGCTTGACAGTGTAGATATTTAGATCATACAGTTAACTGTTGTTGATATTTGTTTATTTGTTGTATGCTATGTGTTGTATGATGTTCAGTAAACTCCGTGACCTCTAACGACTAGGTAGGTATCAGTAGCTACTTCCAAGTTACGAGAATTAAAAATGTGTCCAGACATTGCCATGTCCCTGGTGAACAGTATCATTCCCAAAACAGAACCACTGGTCCAGCTCTGGAGTTTTCTCAAAAAATATTTTTCCTCAGTGATCCAGCTTCTATTTTGGAGTTGTTTGCTCTTAATGTTTCTTTGTTTTCTGTTGCTTTAATTTTGTTTCTTAAGATAGAAGCTTAAATCGTTGATTTGAGATCTTTTCCAGTACAAGCATTTAGTGCCGTAAACTACCCCCCATAAGCATTCGTTTAGCAATACCTCATGAACTTTGACGTGTATTTTCATTCAATTCAAAATATTTTCTAATTTCTCTTGTGGTTTCCTCTTTGTCCTGTGGTTTATGTAGAAGTATGTAGTTTTAATTTCTCTAAATTAAAACTTGGAGCACACCAAACAATATGTCTCACAAATTCTGTTTTACAAAAAAACAGAGTTTTTTTAAAACTATGAGTTTGCTCTCATAGTTTTAATTTCTCTAAATTAAAACTTGTGGACTTTTCAGATATCTTTCTGTTAATGATTTTCAGTTTATTTTTATTGTGCTTAGAGAACATTCTTTGTGTAATTTTGTTTAACTTTGTTAAGGTTGATTGATAAAGTGGTACAAACGTGCTCTATCCTTTCTCATATATCTGTGTCCCTGTTCTATAAATTGCAGTAGTGTAGAAATGCCCAGTTGCCTCTGTGGGTTTGTCTGTTTCTCCTCTCATTTCTGTCACTTGTGCTTCATGCGTTCTAAAGGTCTGTTGTTAGGTGTGAGTCTCATTGAAGCTCCTCTTGGGTTACTTTCCTGGCCACTAACCCCTGTCCTGACTTGTAACAACCTAGATTAGTTCTGTCTGTTTTTGTATTTCATGTAAATAGAATCCTTCAGCAGGTTCTCTTTTTTTGTAAAACAGAATTTGTGAAACATATTGTTTGGTGTGCTCCATTTTTTGCATTGCTGTATTATATTTCTAAAATGCTTTTTAAAATGAAATGTTTAAAATCTACCAACAAATTGTACATCTGCCGAGGTTCACTGGAAATCTTTTGTTGTCCTCATCTCCCACATGG